TCCTGCTGTTATTTGACATTCTGTTTGGACTACCAAATTGGATCACATCTTGAATCTGCACTCAGGCTGACATCAAAGTCGATGGAAACATTTTGCTGTCTATTCTGTGTTTGGGTCGTTGCAGTCCAAACCCACTAAGCTATTCCCAATATATTACCCACTAAGCTATTCACAATATATTTAAATCCAACTGCAAATCACAAGTGAACTTTGAATAATCCTATGGGACAAATCTTCCTGCTCTTTATCCATCAGATCACACGTGACCGGTGATTAGAATGTTGCCTCATTATAACGACTGCAAGATCTTTCTAGATTAGTCATTTCCTTTCTAGGTTCACTGCATGTCAAAAGTGCAATTTATTCTTATTTCATATCTTGTGTTTAGACAGTATTGCAGGGGGCATGAAATATTGATAGCTAATTCTCTAGTCACTAATTGTCCTAATCTTTTGTGCATTTATTTTACTTGAGTTAGGGTTTCTGAAGACAGTGAGGCATCCTAGTCCACAGCTGTAAGATGAAATTCAAGACAGGGTATTGGAAAAATGGTTTACCAATAAAGAAACACATGCCTTCATGCAGTCATTTAAAAATGGCTGGTTATGTATGACAAGAAGTCCACATACAGAACAGCCACAAACTTACAACTGGTTATTAAAAGTACAGTGTACTAAAAGATAAACAATGTGGTGGGATAGGGATACTTGGAAAATTCTGCCTCATATAGCTTTATCTAAGAATACGATTCTCATTGATGTAACTCTTACACATTAATTTATAAGCGGTATGGAAATCGAAACTGAGATTTTTCTGCTTCCTGTATGGACGTTTACAATAATAAATTATTCTTACATGTAAAACATGCAACTTTTTTATCCTTTTAACTAAGCCAAGGTCTCAGGTTAAAGCATAATTTGTGAGCAAGAAGGTTGATGGTGGACTATTTCTTTGCTCTTCCAAAGAACAAAACTCCTGCTCATTACTGGTCTAAGTTTAGTTGGTTTACCACAGAAACATATCACACCTTAACTATGTTAACATAAATATGAAATAATAATGACTAATTATGCTAATAAACTTTACTTAATCACTTGTCTATGGACAGCAGTGCTGCCTTCTGTAGTGGCGCTCCAGTCCCTTGGGAAGAGTGCTATGTGAGACTTGCAAGCAAGACTCAAGATAGTATTCCTCATTCTATAAGCCATCAGTGATATGCAAAATATAGAAAAGTACTAGAGAGAACTGCATCTTTGTTTTTAGGTGTTTTGAAGTTCTGCGTAGCTGAAGATGACAACGTTGAATGAGCAATTGAAGAGTCAAGTAAGGTAAGGACGGTCCTTGGAACTGTGGGTTCTCTCATCTCTGGTTTATTAACTCGCTAAACAAGCAGCTATGAGTTCTCTAGCATACAGTCATTTAAAGCTGTGAAATTACACAGGAGGAATCCCATATGTGGGGGTCACAGAAATCCCCCTTTTTTAAAGGGGAAGCTTTGATATAAGCCATTTTATTCAAGGAGGCAAATAATCAGACTCCTGCACTGTCTGATTCGAATCAGGCCTATAAACGTCCATATAAAGGTCATATTAGGGTACAATTCTGAAGTTTTACCATAGCAAATAAAATTCTGACTTTCCCCTATAAAAGGGAAGTCTTGCCTTGCTCTAATCTTTAGAGTTTAAATTAATTTTTCATTCTATTAACATTCAACATAACAGGATACAATGGTCCCCAAGGCATTCTTCACAATATACTTTGTACAGTGGTTTGCAAATGATCTTACTAGTTAATGGAACTATAAAAATTACTTGCACATAAAGGTCAAGAAAAATAAAGATAAGTATATACTTTCTGACACTGTCCTGTTCAACACTCAGCTAAAGGCCCCTGGGGTAAAGAAAACTTGTACTAATGCAAGGAGTATAATTCCTCCCAGTATAATAGCCCAAGCAGTTCAACCTTTGGAATTCCAGACTTTTTATGTCTGCATTTTCCCTTGACCAATTCTCTTGAACAATCCAGCACCTCATTGATCAGTTTATTATTAGCATTCTTGGCGTGAGTTTAAGATCAGTTTGTAGTTTGATTCAGCCTGGTAATAAAATGACCTACATCAAAGCCCTGCCAAAATGCCATCTTTGTAGCAATGCGTTTAGCATGAGTTATTTGGCCACATTCAAGGTCACACAGCAACTGCTCCTTATCATGGAATAAAGTCAACAAAAGGGTTCTGTAACAATTCATTTGATGCTTATCACTTGCTTTATAATTACAAACAGCTTCTTTTTTAACATATAAGGTCAATCCTGAGGGAAATACACCTAAAGATTAAACTCTTTTCACACCTGAAATAACTGCATAGATTTCTCTAACACTAGCACTTATTTTTTAATTGTTGTCCTGAATTTGAATTTAGATATACTAAATGGGTTGTCCGTGTCTCCCATCTACAAAGGTATGAAATAGCCAGGATATTGTTCTTGAGGAGTACGCTGCTAAGTGGAGCAGGCTCTGCTGCCTGGAGAATACTTTCACTGCAGAGCGACTTCAAGTGAGTGGCACCACAGGCAGTTTATCCCAGCCACAGGCAGCCACAGTCCAGGGATCAGAGCCACCCTCTCTTCCTTGGTGCTGCATTCCTCCGTATGGACCCAAACCATGACTTTGCAGGGTTTAACCCTGCTGTACCAGGCTGGTTTATAGGCGCTGTTATACCCTGCTCATCACTACATTATCAAGCCGTTGACTACTTGTACTCCATTAAACAACGTACCTAACACCTGCCACAATGACCTTCTTAGCCTCTTTCCTAGAGGTGAAAGCGCATTTAGAGAAGAGTTTCATTCTAGGGGAAGAAGTATGGAGTAATTTAGCTTGGGAAAGTTTGTTAGCTTGTCCAAACATATAATGTGTATTTATTTCGCAAAAAGCAGAGTCAAAAAAACGTGTCTTGTGCTTGTGGTGGAATGTGGTAACATCTGCAGTGGTCCTTTGAACCTGGAGGAGTTCACAGCCACTGACCCAGCAAGTTCCATCTCCCTCCCACTTCAGCTGGTGGGACTTTATGATGCCAGACGAGCAAAATATCTTCAAAACAAAGACCAGTATAATTACAAAGTTTACAGAAACCCAGTGTAGAAAGCAGAAAACGGGCTTCACGAACTGTGCTCATTCATAGCAGCGTGCGCTGCTGAAGAGACGTGCTGGAGTGTTCTGTACAAGCTAGAGCTTCCTAGGCTCTGCGGGCTTTCTGCCCAGGGACTGCGGTGCAGCCAGGAGGTGATAGAAAGCATAAATAACTGTCGATACATTATAATAATGGAAAACATCCCTCAATGAAGATCCAGATGCTGCTATATGGGAGCACAGACACAATGAGAAATTCAGGCACTCTCCTAGAACTACACAGAATGAACTGGTCTGTTCTGACTGCACATGTGGCAAAAGGACGCTGCCCCATGACTGCAAGCTCTTCAAAATAATTTTCTTTTCTCTGCCCTACCGTAGGCAGTCTCTGCCAGTTTTTCTTCACCATA